CCTGTTGATACCCTTGTTTACTACACTGAAGGGGCTATCTTGTATAAAAATAGATAAATATCTTGTACAAATATAGATGTCTACTTCTACTTCCAATGAGATATATTCCAGTAAAAACCTTATTGTATTACAATCAGGAGCTTAATTAAGGACTAGGCACAGGGCAAATTGACTGCCTGTGAGCCTGAATTTGCTTAGCTGTTTTTTCTAAACCTGGGCTTTGTTGAAAACATGTCCACCCATATGCTTGGGTGAGCCCTTTTTACAGTATGCCCCCCTGCTACAGATCTTAATTAACCCCCTGTGCAATGTTTCTTTTCCCACAGATTTTCATCAGAGAGAAATCAAAATTTCACTAAGACAGTGATTGAGGCAGTGGTGGTTGATTACTGTGGAGTTGATAAGTGTCCCTGGTCCACAGCTGAATTAAGAAGTATGTGCCAGGAACTGAATGTAGCTCAAAGAAACACATCTACACACTTGTCAGGCTGTTCACCAGCTTTTGATAGATATTGCCTTCAATTATTCCACCAGAAATGAGAAACAGTGATACAGTCGACTCCCAATAACTTGAACCTTCAGAGAAAATGCAAAAAGGTTCGCGTTATTGGGAGTTTGAGTTATCAGGAGAATAAACAACATATTCATTTTATACTGATGACAAAATCTGAGTGTTGAGTGATCACATCTGCACAAATTAACATTTGGCTCTTATACATGTACACTGCAGAAGTCCATCTTATTTTTCAAACTAAATTATTGTTCTTGAGTTTTGGCTTCACACCTCTAACTTTTAAGCCCTCTGTTTCTATCTCAATCTGTCTTTATACATGTATTTAAGCCTCTACCCCTAACAACTATTTATGAAATTACATACATAAGGGTCTTAAATCTTCATTAGATGCACCTTATAATGGTATGAATATGAATATAGTTTATATCTGACCACTTGCAGCCCAGAGGCTGAATTACAGGTGCAGTGTAAGGTTGAGAACAGACGTCAGCATATCAGGCGCCTCTGGCACCCGCTCCAGTCTATCAATCTCACCTTCCCACCCATACCACCCCAGGGGAGGACATCCATCACACAGTAATCTTGTGTGTGGGAAATTAACGTCTCCTACCCCAACCCTGCAGGAGATGGGACCTCCATTTATTCGTCCCTATCCGAGAAGACTAGTCTAAGAATATCTAACCATTTCTTGATGTTATAGAAAGGTAGCAAATTCTTCTCAAATATTTTAAGACCATGAGTGTTGGTCCGGCCGGGGCTCGAACCCTCGACCTTCCGCACAACAGTCCAGCGCTCTATCCATTGAGCTAACTGGGAGGCGGTATGTTACAGTATTCTGAATGAGTAAAGAAAGTAAAGGTGTTACCATTATTAAATGACTGAATCAGTGCTGTTGTATTAAAATTATCATTTCTCTGGATAGGTGCTGCTGCAACCTATTGTAAGAGTTTACATGATTCTTCTACAAGAGCTAAAAAGGGAAGTTAGAGAGACATGGCACCCTCTATAGGAGACAAGGGAGAATGCGAAATGTAAGTTTTTGCTATTATTATCAATAACACCGAAATATTGTTGTGTGAACATAGTATGTTGTGGTTCAATTTGATCCTTGGTTCAAATTTTATTCTCCCTTGATATTGGGTATGGTAACATATTATTGAAACAATTAGAAAAATAAAAATGAACTAAGGATAAAATTTAACCAAAACAAATACACAGTTTACTTTAATTTTAACTTTAGCTAAATGGCACATCTTTTACATGTACCAAAATATAATTCAAAACAGTGACTTATGTGTGGAGTGTTACTCTCTTTTTTAACAAAAGACAACAGGAACGCAAAAATTCAATATTGTGTCTGGAATTGGATTCCCCAACAGGAGGGTGCAACTAGTATCACATGACGATAGCATGGGCTCAGGCCAAGTGGTTTTTCAAAGTTGAGTGCTGACCAGTTAACAGATTTTCATTGGACCGTGGGCTCAAGTATTGTCAAAGTTTATTAGAACAAGACAAAAATGAGGAACTCTGCTATTACCCTTGGCTAAATCTGTATATTGTATTTAAATGCAAATTTATTAACATTTCTTTTAATTTGGTCTGAGTTTTCTTGTTTGTGGGTGTGAGACAATTGTAACAGTGAATTGTTACTGTGTGAAATGATGGGATGAGAAAATCTTTTTATGCGGAATAAGTATATCAATATACAAATGCAATCATGCTTTATTTATTTTTTTTTATCTTAAAGCCATGTTTTTTTTTATTATTTGCCCAGAAAATTCAAAGGAGACTTTCTTCTTTGAAAGCCATGCCATGGTCTGTAGAAAAGAAAAAGGAAATAGAGAAGGCAGCTGGCAGCATGGAGTAAACAAGTTCAGATGAATCTGACTGGTCAGATGATGAGAATGGAGAATCACGACTTTCTGGCTTTCTGGTTAAAAGGTTGCCGTGAGAGCGGACTTGTTTAAAAAATGTGAAGAAAACCCTTGATGAAGCCTACCTGGGTAGGCTAGACAAACGAGTAAGACAAAATCTTGCCATCCGAAAGGTCCATCGCCGGCCATCAAAACGTGATCCGCCCACTGAACACCTACAGTGGGCAGTAAGAGAGCTTCCAACCACCACACCTGCAACACCTTCTACCATTGCCAGTCCTGCAATGGCTTCTTCTGGAAGTTCACCCTGCACTAGACCTTCAACCCCCCTAGATCCAGACCAACACATCCCTCCACTAGAACAGACCAACACCACCCTCCAATGGAACCAGACCAACGCCACCCTCCACTGGAATCAGACCAACAACTTCCACTGGTGCCAGACCAACACCACCAAGACCTTCCACTGGTACCTGCAGTCCTAGTACAACACATTCTACTGAAACCAGGCCTGCTGCTCCCTCCACCGGCTCTACATTTACAACTGCAACACCTCTCAGAAGCCGGACTGTGACACCTTAACAGAGCGCCAGGCCTGCAATGCGTAGTAAAAGGCCCCTATAAAAAATGCAGCATCTTTCCTCCAACAAAAAGGAGTAAAAAAAGAACACGTGACAACAGTCACTTGAATATTGACTGAAGTGAAAAACACAAATGCATATTGTACATAAACTTTGATCACTTTTCTTGGTTCCAGTTCAGATTTAGAAGCCATGTTATGGACAACAAACATTAGAGTGTTTGCTGTAAATATTTGGATAAATTTTAAACTTTGTTTTTATGTTTACAGTTGTTTGAAACTTTGTGACCTTTCCTGCTGAATATAAAATTCTGAAATTGCTTTCACACGTTTTTAATTAAAAATTAGAAAACTTTCATAATTCCCAGATCTTGAATTGAATAGTGATGACATTTTTATTATGAAGTTTCTGTACATTAGTTACGGATGTATCATAAATACGTTGAGCAATAAAAAGAGCTGACACCGCTTTGTAACAAAGTAAGTGTTGTTAATGAATTTGAGGAAAGCTTTTTGCCTGACAAGACAAAAAGATATATGAAGTGTTTGATATCTTAATTACTCGCTCCCTTTTTAGACGAAAAGCTCATTACAATTATTCCGTTTCTTCATGAAATGTTAGAGCTCACTCAAGACTAATTTTCTAGCTTCTGTGCATCAACAGCAGGCTAAAATCGAGTTTGGGAGCCTGATACAGCTGAACTTTATGTCAAAGAAAATGCTCTTTAAAGAAGCGTAAATTTACCTTAACAGAACCATTAAACTGCCTCTAAGCTGTTGTTTAAAAGCGGCTTTACGTCACAATTCCGCCAACTTTATGCTAAAGAAAATGCTCTGTAAGGAAGCGTAAATTTACTTTTACAGAACCATTAAACTGCCTTTACGCTGTTGTTTAAAAGCGGCTTTACGTCACAATTCCGCCAACTTCACGTCAATCGTTTTAGTGTTCATTTACGCACCTTTACGCCATTGATTAAAGGTAGCGTAAACGTTGACTTTACGGTTCGTTTACGTGAGCGTAAGGTCGCGTAAATCCAAACTTACGTTGCATTTACGTCGCGTTCAAGCCGACGTAAATTTGCCTTTTCGTGCTGTGAGCTCGACGGCAACTTATCTAAGCTCCCATTCGGAACTCGGCTAATTGCTCATCACATACGTTGCTGAAGTTGAGCAGCGGCGTTGTTTGTGGCGATAAAATTAACACACTCATCTAATCACAAGTTCTAATTAAAGACATAAATTCATTTCTTAATCGAGATCTTCCTTGGCGTTTTCGTCTGACTGTTTAAGGTCTATAATAGGATTAGAACTTTACAAGGCATTCGCCAAGCATTCTTAAGGGTAAACATTTAAGCGCAGAAAGAAGAACCTCTTGGAATGTAAACTTGTCGATATTTCCCTTCGCTCTCGATCGCTTTGTACATGTATCCCCAGGGGATACTGAGTACTACATCTGGAAAAATATTGAATACTTTGGATGAGAACTATCAGATAAAGGACTAATTGAAATTCTTAATAAAGGACGGTTAAAATCTTTAACTTTAGTTTTTTTTAGCCATTTCCGCGCTATGTCATACCGTTGCCCAAAATTAGTAATTTATCGCCGTAAGGAGGAAACACTCCGAGGGGTGATAAAATTGAATTTAAGCAAGCTTAACAGAGAAAGGAATCAATTTCACAAAAATCTTTTTCTCACATACTAGTAGCGCGAGTTTGATTTGAAATCACGCGTATGATTTCAGACCAAAATTGCACGACACGAGGCTCAATTACCACTTTATTACATCCATTTTGAAATCGCCCAAATACAGGACCTGGTCAATTCAAATATTTTACTGATGCAGAACTGAGCCGGTTTTTAGATAAAAGTGGAACCAGAAATGCTTTTACATCTAGTTTTGTATGCAAAACAGAAAGACTTTGACATCATGTGTCAAAAACTCAGTCAAACGTAAAATGATGCGATTTAGAGCAAAACGATGGTGCGATTTGTGAATAAATCGCACCAAATAGAGCCAATCAGATTACAGGAACCACTAGTGATTTCAAAATTGATGTAATAAACTAGTGAAAGTAAACGCGCAAAAACAGATACAACATTTACAGTTGATATCATCGCTATCTTAAATGACTTCCCACAAGACATTTTAACTTTTGTCTTTCTCTTGCATCCTTTAATCACAATTCTCTGCCCTTTTGCTTACAAACTTTCACGGCTTTGTTCATTTGAGGACGTTTCGTTCATGCTTAATCAGCAGATCCGATTAAGCATGAATTATAACTTTATTCTGTTTTCCGCGACATTTTTCTGATTAATCCTTACTTTTTCTCCTATAGCAACACAATATTCCATTATGAAAGCGTTCCATCCGCTTACCTTGGGCAAAATGATGAAGAAAAATTCTGTTTTTTTAATTTTACCTGACGCAATTGTGACCCTCACATGCTTTATTTGAATGATCATTCCCATCCAGTACTACGTAGAGAAGCACGCTGTTTTGGAATTTTCAAAAATATATCTTTCAGAGACTGACTAAGTAGAAGAGATAGCATTTCAGACAAGAGCAGAAACATGGTTGACTCAAGATAGTTCGTTACACACTGTATTTTTTTCTCTGTCATTTTACGTTTATTTGGATAATCAGTTATTTTTAGAGAGGACTGCATCAGCTAAGCGAAACGCGAAAATGGATTTAAACAACTGGCGTCTACTTCAATATATCTCCTTCTATTTTGCCCAAAGCGGCGATTTTCTAATTCAACAAGACAGCGTGCTTGTAATTACCACTTGAATATCGTTAATCAACTATAGATTCAACGATTATTTTGCCGCACGAGGGTCATGATCAGTTTCGACTTTTCTGCGCATCGAGACGTCACATCAGCTATGACTACAAATTACTGACTATGGCAAATTATTTACACAAAGCAAGTAGATTCCTACTTTGACTTTATAATCATTGTCTGACGCCCTTTTTTCACGATTAGCAGCGAATGCTCATGGCTATTTAAGTTGGGCATTCCCAGTAGTGCATGAAGCAATAAATTTTTGCATCTCCACTCCTTAAAGTTTCTTTGCAACTGCATTGGTAGCTTATACTGTATTTAGATTCAGTGCTTGTCAACTGCACAAATTTTGCATCATTACTGTCACAGCTAACACCAAGGAACTTTTTACCCTGCAAAGAAGAGAACAATCTATTTACGTTTCAGTTGCGACAAACGCTTTCATACATCTTGAATTCATTACCTAGGCACTTCGAAGGGTGCCTGAGTTCTCGATAGTCGCCATTGCTGTTGTGGATTTAAAGAACACAGAGTTTCATTCTGTCTGATTTTTTCCTCTAAACGTCCATTCTTGGTTTAGCTAATGCTGTATACCGTATTCCTCGAGTGAGCGCCCGGACGCTTATTCAAAATTTCGGACACTAGGGGGCCTAATCAAGGGTTCCTTTCAACGACCTGTAACTGTATTTTAGCTAAATCTGTAATAGAAAAACAGGAATGACAACATTATCCACGTATACGTAAAGTTAATATTTTTCGTTTGTTTAAGTAAAGGGTAAAGACTTATTTTCTTGAAATATGACAGGGAATAAGCCAAGAAGTCATTGTATGACGACAATGCAATTGGAACTTACAAAGTGAAGCATGTGCATGGCTCATACAGTTTCAAGGTTGCTGGCCACATTTCGATTGATAATGATTGTTATCATTCTTATTCATATGTTTTCTTTAAATTCATCCAAGTAACTTTATGATCGCAGAAACGGTCTAACTGAGCCTGGGAAGTTAACGGCATTTACCAAGAGTGCAGCAATACGACAAGCAATTGAAAAAAAAAA